AAAACAAAAATCCAGCTTCTGCCACGATCATGGCTGCTGTAGATTTCAGCTTCTGGTCAGAAAGTTGATTGTATGAATCTTTAAAAGATCTATAGAGCTGAACGTGCTCCCGGGAAAGGCTGAAAACAGAACTGACAGTTATGAACGTCACTACGTCTAAAAAATAAACTGTATGAAGATTTAACACCTTTTAATCACTTCCTCCATCATCATGAGTTTTAAAAGGAATTGCGTAATGCAGTATTTTTGTCTCTGTATGTTTTTCATCACCTTACAACAAAAAACCCCCAAACATTTGTAATGTTTTTAGTGTGGAAAAAAATGTCATTCTACATTTCTACATTGATATGGACTGGGTAATGTGTTAGGAGTGAAAGGACACCACTACTCTGATCAACCAATGAGCAACCAACAGAGAGCAGAATTCAAACACACACTAAAAATCAAAGTGGAAATATGATACAAAATTTTGTTTTTGTAAATAAAAATGATTCTTAGTAGTTTGTACTGCCCCCACATGCTTTTATGCATGCCTGACAACATCAGCACATCCTCCTGAAGTCACAACAGATGCTATCCTCAGGGTCAGGCGAGTGTTGGGGTCAGTCAATGCTATTAATTCTTTCATCCTCCAATAACTGCCTGCATACTCTCACCACATGAAGTTAGGCATCGTCGTGCACCAAGAGGAAACCAGGATCCTACACTGCACGAGGTCCGACAGTGGGTTCAAAGATTTCATCCTGGTACCATGTCAGTCAGGGTCCAACACAATCAGAGTGCTTGTGGGCAAGAGTTTGTGTGCAAGTGGGGTTGGGGCAGTCAGTGAAAAAGCGATGGTGGAGGTTCAGAGTTTTGCATGTCTCGGGGGTGGAGGGAGGAGGAGGAGAATGTAGGTCTGGAGTTCATGTGTGAGAGAGTCGAGAGGTAATGTAATGCAAAGGGCTTTTCCCGTGAGATAGTAGATGTCCTGGAGAGAGGGAAGGGAAGTACCCATGATCTCTCTGCTGCTCTCACTACTCGTTGTAACTTTTTCCGGAAGGACCCAGTGCAGGAGCCATACTACCCAGTGATGGAGCTGGTGAGGATACTCAATGGTGCCTTTGTAGAAGGTGCTCATGATGGGGGTTGAGGCTCTTGCTCTCCTCATCTGCGGGGTGGGGGGTTCAGAAATGAGGGGGTGAAGTTACTGGGAGGTCTCAGCCTAGGAAGACTGGCAACTGTTTGAATCTTTTTTACTTGTTGAATATCTTTCTCACTGTAGAATGATGGTCTTCAAATTGGGATAGACTTCAAGTATGAAGAAAACATGTTAGTGTCATGAAAAGTTAGCAACCATGTCTCCTACCAATAGCACCACTGGAAGTTCTTGTACCAGATGTAGGCTGCAGGCTTTTCAGTCAGAGGACAGCTGCTGCTGCACATCAGTGTTACAGTCTGTCCCTCTGTGGCAGGAATCACCTTTACCTGCAGCTTTGAGAGGATGATGGAGAACAACTTATACAATAATGCCCCAAAACCCATGATGATGCAAACACTTACTGCTATATGAAGACTACAGACGGTCCAGGACATCGTTCACTCATTGATGGTTAAAGTTGGGTTTTTCGCTTCAGACATGAAAGCTCACTCTTTGGTCCATTTAAGTGTACAGTGAACCATTTGCTGCTTGAAGTCAGATGTTGATGTACGTGAGCAGTGGAGATCCACTGATGAACCTTTGAGAGCACAGATCCTGGTTTCTCCTCCATTAACACCTTAAAACAAACTTTCATTAGTGATTGATTGTGATTGTTGCTGTTAGCTTATCTATCATTAATCACTGAGTAAATGTATACTGTACTGTAGAACTAATCTTAAAGTCAGAAATTAATCATACAAAATCAAAGTTGTTCTTTCATAAATTGCATACAGTAATTCAATACAGTCAGAACCAATAACAAGTAATTGTTTCACTGTATATTTTTGACTCATAAATAATAAATCAACTTAGATGTAAAAGGTAAAAACTGAAACAAGTCTAGTATCTGCTAACGTTACTGTTGTCCAGGTTTTACATTTAAAGTTAACAGTAACTCTGAAACAGCTCAAAAATTAGAAAGACAAACTACCTGCATCACCTAGCTGGGTTAACTTCTCTTTATCAAAGTCGAGGATTAAAATAACAACAGAGTGACACTTTCATATTCAGCTGTTTAACATTACACAGTAAAGCATAACTTCCTATACATGTCTCTTCTTCTTCATGTATGTGCATGCTGTGAATGTGGCACAATAAATTACATGCAATTATTTCCCATACTATTGACAACACATAAAGTGTATTTTAGTACTTTGTGTTGTCTCTCTTCTTTTGTGTGAGCAGAAGCCTACAAAGGTGTTAAAACTGTTGTCTGTATATGGTTTATGCCAGATACTGACAACAGTGCACTGCCGTGCATTAGTTTTTATTTTATCCTTTGTTTTAATCAAGAAAAAAAAGTTGTTAATGAAAACTATGAAGAAAGTTACCTGTCAACTAATTAACACTGGCCATAAATTACCCCTGAGATGGTAGTCATTATAAATATCATCACGCATTTGCGAAAATTGGTGAACATGCAACACTGAGCTAATTTCTGCTTTGTGGCAGTGTAAAAGTTCATTACCGTTACTGATTGTTACAGTTAAACTTGTCTTGTTGGTTTTAAATGTACATTTAAATATTTTCTTAATGTTTATTGGGGTTTATGATCAAGAACATTTCATTATCAAGCATCTAAACAGAACTACACTACTTCAGTATTCTTCTTCTAAATAAGTGGTAATAGTATTGAAAGGGTGTTAAAGTGTTAATAATCATAATCTTGTACTTTGACGAACTGTAAAAAAAGAAAACACAAAATTACTATGCTCATTTTGGTTTCATACATAGTTTAGCAAAACACATGTAGCGATCCAATATGTGATTTTAAATTGTTACATGTGAGCTTTAAATATGCAGGTTATCAAGTTTCACTTTAAATCCAACCTGTGTTCTTCGTCTTCTGTCGTGTCTTTGTTTGACCTTTTTCCATCTCTGAGTAAAGTTATCTCATACTCTTTTTTTTTGCTCCCTGGGACATCTAGCAACTGGAGCTTTAGCTAGCAACACAATATGCGACAAACTGCATGGAACAGTGTGAGTACAAGAAAACAATTATTACAATATGATGTGTTAAATTTTCTTAGATGAGAGGGTCCAGCAGTAGATCAGAGGAATAGGTCTGTGTGTTTGGTTTGGCCGAATGTGATGAAACACCTGGCGACGTATAGCATTTTGTTAAAAGCCGAGAAATGCACCGTATTTGATAGCTTGCTGCGAGACCTCACACCGAGCACATCTACTGCAGGAGTGGTGCCTGTTATCGGACCCGGAGTTAGCAACATCCCCCAAAAACCTTAAGAGGAGAGTCCTGGCCCCTAGCCCTGCCAGTGTAGCAGAAATGATGACGGATGATGATGGCAGCAGCAGCCGTTCTTCTCTGCGTGAGTAGCTTAATGTTGTTCGTGTGTAATTTACATTGAGTAGGCTAACCACGTTATTACATTAATGCATGTAAGGTGAACTAGCAAACTCCATCGTAGTTACATGTGGCTGTCTTCTTGTTTGATGGCAGATACTCCCTTCACCCTGGCCAAAAAGGTTAAAATGACCAAAAAAAAAGTGGAAAACAGTTAAACATGAGAGGTTTTTGGACAAAGTTTGTTTTTTCCATTGATTAAGCACTGCTTCCAGCCAAGAGTGATACCATAAATCCCCTATAGCTGCAGAAAAGGCTAACATTGTTATCTTTTTACAAAAAAACAGCTGAACATGAGGTTTTTGGACCAATTTTGTGTTCTCCATTCTTTAAGCACCGGCACCATTTCAAAAGTACCCGTTTGGTGCTGGTATCAGATAAAACCTAAACGATACCCATCCCTACCTGTACTTGTATATGGTGGACCATTAAAGGGGTTAAGCCCTATACGGGGTGTGAGGGGAGATGACCCTTCTATGAACAGAGATGTTGTTAAAACGGTTGTAACCAGGAAGTCACGTATACAGACACACATACACACACACACACACACATTCACACACATTCACTCACATACTCCTACGTGCATATACACAAATAGCCTTAGCTTCTACGACACACCATATGGGGTTTACAGGGGGGGGGTTGTGTAACTGTTTTCATTCAATAAAAGCTGCGAAGGGAAGCTGGGGCTTTGGAGCTGACTGAGGTCGGGTGCAGAACTTGCAACTCTGAGAATCTGACTGGGCTTCCCTTGCACAAGTAAAACCAATTGAGCTCTGATTGTCTTGCTTTGTTCATGGTGATAAGTCTCTGAGTTAGCGAGGCCTGAGAGTGCAGACCTAACAGAAGGGAGTAAAAGTAAAAAGTTGTCAGAAAAATACTCAAGAAATGCAGAGATACCTGAAAATTGGACTTAAGTACAGCAACTGTCCCAAACGCAATTACAGACAAGGGATTTAAGTTGTGGAGGAAGCTTTATTTGCTGAGATGCAGAACTTAAAATGAAGTATAAAAAACACTAAAAGAAACAAACAAAAGTTAAACTAGAAACTAAGACTCTTTCAACTAGGAACTCACAACTTAACATAAACATACTTAGCATAAACAACGGAACGTGGACCACACACGAACGAGATTCAGGACTTAAATACACACACACAATAACGAGAGGATGGACAGCAGGTGGCAACACAGGGGGAACAAATCCGGCATAACAACACAGGGGCAGCGAAACTGAACACAATGAACACAGGATGAAAGACTAATAAAATAAAACAGGAAGTACAAAAAATACAACTCATTAAATCACAAAGAACTGAAGACTGACTGAAACAAACTTAATAGAAGATGTAAAAATAACCATGAATATTTCAAAAATAAAAAGCATAATGTCCACAAACTAGAAAACACTGGGTTACAGGCACTGACAACAGCATCATGGAAATGCTCCTGTTTTCAGGGCTGAACTGACTGTAAGGTGGAATAAAGAGGTACCACGTGTTTGTTTCTGAAGTGCACTCTGCTGTAGTGGACTTCATCCTCCTGCTTCAGTTGTGTTGAGATGTTTTCATACACAGGACCAGGGCTGACCTGATGGAGAAAAACAGCATTACATTATATTGCACTTTAAACTTGACTCCTCCTCATTATGATGGCAAAAATGAAATGGCCACTGGAAAGATTAGACAATCTACAACCCTAATCTTTACCTGTTCAATGTGGTCAGAACTTGTTGTTGTTGGAGGCTGAGCAGAAGTTCTCTTTTTCCTGGTTGAAGTGAATAAACTGAAAATAAGTGACTTCAGAGCAGAGATTAAAGGTACTGCTGTGAACCAACACTTACCTAACACACCAGCAGACAGTGAGAAGTATTAGAACCAGCAGAGCAGCAGAAACTCCTGCAGCTGCTGGTGTCCATGTTCCTGTGATACTTTGGACAGTGAGAGTCTTTGGAGCAGAGCTGATCTCTTTGTTGGTTTTCACAGCACAGGAGTAGCTTCCTGCATCCTCCCTGCTGACTGGGTCTAGGATCAGATGTTTGTTCTGGTTCTCTCTCGGGGTCAGAGGTCGACTGTTGAAGTACCAAATGTAGTTTGTGTTGTCAGTCAGAGGACAGCTGGTACTGCAGGTCAGTGTGACTCTCTGACCCTCTGTCACCACTGCAGAAGGACTCATCTTCACTCTCAGCTCTGGAAGAGGAACATTGGTCAA